CACTATGCGGCTCACTAACTCCGGTGAGTATAAATACTGTGGTTGATTCAACGCTTGTATTGTGGCAACCACGTTCGTAATACGACTTGCAAAAGATCCTATATTTCGGCAATCTTCTGCCAATCTTGGCATACGCTTTACATTCTCGATTTCGGCTAGAATGAGCATCTCAACCCTACCGAATCTTCTTTCGAGAGCGTTCATTATTTCTTCAGGTTCACATAAAGTAAATAACAGCGACTTAACCGCCTCTTTAGCGGTGCCCTTTAATGCCCTCCTAAGGCGTGCGACATTTTGCACCCCTGAAAATTGGCCTTTTGTGTCTTCAAACACCGTTTTGAAAATTATCCATTCACCCGGGTCTCCATCGAACACCGGTAATTCCTGGAGGAAATGAAGCTGGGAAGATTTATCTTTACCAGCTATTTTTATTGCACTCACAATCGCTTCGGTCAATTCTGACACCTCACTCGCGTGTGTTTTCTGTGCATTTCCTAGGTTGCGCTCGACCTCCGCCCCTTTGCGGCGTGATCCTTTACACGCTTCCTTATCAGTAATATCGGGTTGTGCTACACTAACCGGCGCGCTCATTATGGTTTGCTGAACCCAACTCCTTACGAAAGGTTCCACCTGAGTATTCCGCTCTTCATCATCCTCACTCGAGTCGATTTCCTCTTCTCGGTTGAGTCGTGCCAACTCCAATTGAGACTTGGCTAAGGCAGCAGCTGCCTGTGCTCGTTCGAGCTCTGAGCGTTCGAATTTATTCCGCGCCTCTAATTCGGCTTTCAGCCTCGCCGATCGCGATGACCTACTACCTCTCTGTGACCCTTTATCACTAGTGTGCCCGATTACTGTCCTTGACGATGCCGCTTCTTCGGTCCTTTGACCTACTTTTTCGACCACCGTTTCACTCCTGGATATAACGGATTGTTGTGCGGTGCTGGCCTGTGTACCACTGGTGTCCGTCCTGTTGCTCGTCGTTGCTATGGACGTCCCTGAGTCCCACGTGCATGTGGACGTGTCTGTGGTGGCTCCACTTGAAGGAGTTGCTCCATTTGACGCAGTAGCTGTGGTCGCTCCAGATGATTCCGCTTCTTTAGCTTTTCTTGAGAGCCCTGTCCTTGTCCTGCTCCCTTCGCTTCTCCCTGTCTGGTCTTGTGCCTTCTTCATCTTGCAGGAAGGTGATTGTTGGCCTACGGTCCCTAACTGTCCCTACAGTCCCTACGGTCCCTACAACCCCTTACCTACAACCCTTCTACACCCCAACCTAACACCACTACCCCTCCCCCCCTTTATCTCCCAACCCTACAACCCTACTACCACCCTAACAGCCCTATCAGCCCTATCAATCCTGAACGGGGCCTACCGAGGTGAGCCGTCCAGGGATGGAGTCGTGCAGGAATGGAATGGAGGAAAGGTTTAGGAACTGTCCCGCCAAGGAATATGACGAAACAGTCGAGCGGTAGTGCAAGCGCAGTCTCGCTCGAGAGAACTGCTCCACCCGAAGGTGTTATGCCAGAGCCCAACCGTTTGGCACCGTTAGGTGGTCGGGATGTATGCTGTGCTCGCCGCCCAGTTGCCGGTGACGCCTCGTCCAAGCGCCCTCCTCCGGCCGCGATGCAGTCAGGTGCCCACGCGCACCCTCGCCCGGCAGCAGCAGCGGTGGATGCTTTTGCACCCTGATGACCCGACGGGATATGCCGGACACGGTCGTCCGACAGGAAATGCCAGACACGATCGTCTGACAGGAAATGCCGAGCACGCTTGCCCGACAGGAAAAATGCCAAGCCCTGCTTGGCCACGATGAGTGCCTTCACAAGACACCTGCGCCCGGCTGCGATATGTGCCCCATGCGAGCACACGCCCCAAGCTGCAATCCCGGTTTTCTTTCTTCCGGTAGTTCCAGGTCCAGCCCTTCAGTGCTGCCGTCCTGGTCTTCAGGCCTTTGGTCCTATTGCTTCAGCTCAAACCTCTGGCTTCCTTCGGTTGCTGATCTTCACTCGGCTTCCGAAGGTCTTCTTCTTCTACAACCAGCAGTCCACAGCTGGTTCCTTGATCCAGCTGGCGGGGTTCGGGTGGTCTTCAATCCGGCTCCGAAGGTCCAATTGAAAAGGAACTCAGGTTCGGGGTCCTCTCAATCCGGCCGCGAAGGACCAATTGAAAAGGACCAGGTCGGATTTCCTCTTAATCCCGTCGCGAAGGACCAATTGAAAAGGACCTAGCGGATCGGGTACTAAGAAACAGGAATCGAGGCTTCTCTCGATCCGGCCTCCTATCACGCCTACGTTGGGTTCGGGAACAACGTATGTGATCTCCGCAACGGAGTAACACACTAGGGCGATAACCTCTTCCTTTTCAGCAAGTAGGTTCAGACGGGGATTACGGGTCTTCCGAAGTCGTCCCGGTCCCGACGCCTTAATTCTTCGATGTGGACTGTATAACTTAAAGGATCTTGGGAATGAAACAGCAATTATCTTCAAACCGTTCCGTGAGAGAGTAATCACTTTTCCCTATACTGCTGGTTTTTCACTTTTCTTGAACTTTTTCCCGGATTTTCTTATTTATTTCCGAACTATTTCCGAACTTCCCCGAACGAATTGCAATAAAACCCGTTCACTAAGCTACCCCAGAGCTATACGCGAAAGTGAGCCGCGCCATCTGCGCGCTTGCGCAACTTAATTACATGAATTTGTACTATTACTCTCTCACGTTTCACTCAATATCTTTATTTATTCAAATCATATACAAATACAATTTATCAATATAGGTAGTACAAAACAATATCTACACCATGATATACATCATATCTTCATATCATAAAAAACCTTTTATTTATTAAACGAAAACTGCCTATTTTACTCACAAGTTCGAAATCGAAATTTCTTAAATATTTAACACAGAAAGTTAAAACAATGTTTCTCACTTGAATTTATACATAAGCTAACCAATACAATAGTTTAATTTACATTTTTTCTATTTATTTCACTATTTAAAACACTTTTAAATTTCTTATACAAAACTATCATTATTTCACTTATACACAGGAATTTTCACATGAAAATAACACAGAATTTACCTTTTTAGCACGTACAATTAACCTGAAATATTTTACAAGTAATTTTTACATAAATCACTGAATTACAAACATTTTAAATTTTTACATATTCGGCCTCCTAAGGGCGTGGCCTAGCGTGCGTCTATGAACTCACACTATTTGAACAACTAACTTTTGCACGGCTCTCGGCTATCAGAAAAAAATTAAATTATGAAATACACCAATTTTGACCATATTAGGCAAATTAAATGCTTTTATACAATTTTCGAACTGTATGAAACTATCTTTAATCAGATAACAATATAAATGAATGTTCTCATTAATCAATCATAACAAATAGGCATTTGTTTTCGTACAAAACGTATCAAACTTATACAAAACAACATTTATGCAATTAATATCCATTAATTCTGCCTATGCACAGAGTGATTATCTCGACCGGGGAACAAATCCGATCTTTAACTTCACTTTAATATTCTTATGAATTTACATCATTTGAAAGATGATTTCAACCGGGGAACAAATCCGGTAACATAATTTATATCTTAAATTCCTTACGAATTTATTAAGCGATATTACTTAGGAAAACAAACAAACTAGTCCGGCCTGGGAGTCGAACCCAAGACCTTCATATCATTAATTCGACATTTCTTAAAGATTTAACTAAGCATTCTCTTATCAGAGCGTCGTTGCTCGTGACTGCCCCTTTTTTCATAGCAACGTCATCGGTTGATTTAATAAACTGAAACATTTTTATAGGCGCGTCGCCAACACTATTCATTAAATGTATAACAGTGTTTACAAATTTGTTTTATTTTGATATGTCCTCGACCAATTATCTACGCCCATCAAGGATACTCCACCTAATAAAGAACCTGTGTCTTTAACTATTATTGTTTTGATTTTATTTAATTACACACTATACTAGAATATTTAAAAACAAACTGTTCCCAAATGATATTAGGGTTGCTGGTTCAGTAACTTCACTAGTATTGTCAATTCGTCATGTGTCAAATCGGTAATAACTCAGCGGCCGGACTATAATTAAATTATAAAGAAGTGAGCGAAAAATATTAAAAACCTGGATAAATCTGTAATAAGCGTTTTTATTAATAAAAGTAATATAAGGTAATTCCTAGTACAAATTGGTTTCTCTCAAATAAGTTGATTCCCCTGACAATGCGATTTTTTCATTACTATCCTGTTTTGCCATATTTGGGGCAATTTATTTCCGGCGACGTAATTTTGAGTTTGAGAGAGAATCCTTCTTTTTCTATGAGCATGAAATCCCTTGGACTACAAGGTTACAGTTTCAAAAAATTCATTCCGAATATGAATGAGAAATTAATTTTCTATATATATTTATTCGTTTTTTGAGCGGATGAAAGAGTCAAATTAGTTCAAAAACCAGCATACGATCGTGTTACGATGTAAGAATCGTTTGCGGGTAAAAAATCAATTAAAGTCGATGTTTCGTTTAAAGTAATATATAAATTTATTACTTAAAATGAAACATCAACTTTAAATCGACTACTGTTCACAATAATAATAATGTCCTCCAGATCGAATTTCGGTCACGGCGTTCAGTTTCAACATAGACATGATTGTAGTGCCCGAGTGTATGTAGTGCGAGAGTTGTACTCTCCTTTCCCCTACTTTCATAGTCCGGTGGGACAGCAATCAAATGACCGGAGAAAGATCAGGTGCACGACCAGCGGCTTAACGTGCTTTCCGAGGTACGGGGTGAAACACTCCAACTTCCTGTCTCCGGGCTGCTACTGGGGATTTCTTGACAAAAACCCGTTGGCTGATTTTGGCCTAAACCTGGATTCGAACCCGGGACCTCGTGATCAGCAAGCGCGGTCACGACCACTAGACCAACGAGGCAGTCCTTTCTTAATACAGCGGAACCAAATATTAAACAACCAAAGACTACGAAGATCAGTTACACAATCGCAATGCTAGTCATGCTTGTTCTTTCTTTTTTGCCAGCACCACTGCTAAATTCTAAAACATTTTCATTAAGATAAAGTGATAGACGATAATCAAGAACTAAAAAAAAATATTAATTTAATGTTCTGAATTAGTTGCTATGACATACCTGTTGAAACACAAAGTGCTTGAATACCTCGATACGACACCGATACCGATGCTCTTATAAAAATATCGGCGATACCGATACGGATACCGATACGCTTATTGAATTCAAAAATGAAGGTAAAATAAATAAAATATATCACACACACACACATATATTAGTGAATAGTTGTTCATTATAAACACAAGTTAATATGAAATATTAATCATATGGATCGACAAATGGTAACGGCAGGAAAAACATATAAATTAAACATGTAAAAAATCTTACATTTTTTTGCAGATATTTAAAGTACATATTATCGGGGCCTAGATGACGTATTCACCCTTAGAATTTGCGTAAATCTTATACAGCTTTTAACTTTAATTTAAGAATTAAATTCTTATTAAAATTTGTATTTTTACCCCTTCGAGTAGAATAGGCATGATAAAATTTCAATATTGTCTAATAAGTAACAATAAAAAATTTATTCCCTACTTTGACACTCATAGGGTATAATTTATTTTCCTAAATTTAAAGCTTATATTCGTTTCACATCTAGCCACAGGCCTCCTCATTTATGAGAGGGTTATACGGCAATAAAATGTCGGCAACGCTGCCCTAATGTCAATATTTTTTCTTATTTCTCAGACATAAAGGTTTTTTTGACGATTATTTCCTTCATCGCTGAGCACATAAATCAGCACTTAAAATGGCAATTAATAATTTCATCGATGCTGGTGGGGATCGACTCCGGGTTGCTGGTATACTGTGAAATTTATGATGAGCGCTTAACCCCTGAGCTACTTACTATTTATCTTCTTAAGTTATAAGAAACAACTCATGAAGTAATTAACACAATTAAAAATATATATTTTTTTATTTATTGGATTACTAACGTAAGATACAGCCAACTCAGATAAATACAAATTATTTGTTACATAGTACAATAGGTAACTGTTCTCACATTTATAAGTAACCACATCATGCGTTTTATCCTGTTACTGTAATGAAAACACTATAAAAATTATGTAAGTTAAAACAAGACAAAGGTCAATCACGATAGTTACGATAAAGGTAAGTCAACATTTTTAATTTTTGCAATAAAAGTAGCGATGCTATCGAAGTGGATGTCAATATCCGAATTCCTCCCAACATATTCATTGTACAAGCGGGTAGCGCGGACCAAAGGTGAAAAACGACCCAAATTAGTTCTGGATAGCCTGGACTTAAACAATTTGCATGGATATCTCGGGATTCTGGCGGGGACATTGTATGTTAGTCTATTAAGCAAAGGCGGACAATCGATAGATCCATTAACTATTTTGTGTAAAAATTTTAAATCTACACGAGCTCGACATTCTGTAAGTTTTATGAGATTGAAGTGCTTTAATTTCTCCTCATATGTTTTGGTAGTTATAGGTGATCTGTATCGATTTGCAAGAGTACGAACAAATCGTTTCTGAATTCTCTCAATTCTATCAACATGTGTTTTATAATTGGGACACCACACAGTGCTGCAATATTCCAACTTACTCCTTACATATGTATTGTAGAGATGAATTACAGCGTCTAGTTTCTTAAAACTTTTGGTACATCTTAAGATAAAGCCTAACACTTTGTTTGCTTCGTAATAATTTTATCTATGTGGTCTGAAAAGCTCAGCTTACTATCCATTAAAACGCCAAGATCGCGAACAGGACTAACAGTTTTAAGTATATAATTAGATATGGAATAACTAGTTTCCAATTTATGACGTTTTCTAGTAAACTGTGTGTGCTAACATTTGGAGACATTAAGATACAATTTGTTTTCCTTGCACCAATCATAAACACTATCTATATCATCTTGAAGGCATCTTATATCATTGGTATTAGTAATTAATTTCAGAAGTTTGAGGTCATCAGCGAAAAGATAGATTTTACTATGTCTCATTTTATGTGTTATATCGTTGATAAAAACGTTGAAAAACAAGGGACCGAGCGTAGATCCCTGAGGAATGCCAGATGTTGCAGTAAATACATTAGAAAGGTTACCTAAAACTGCCACTCTTGAAATGCGGCTATTAAGGTAAGATCGACACCACTGCAGCAGTTTGCCGGAGATTCCAAAGGCTTCTAATTTTTTAATAAGTATGGCATAGTTGACTTTGTCAAAGGCCTTTGAGAAGTCGGTATAAATAACATCTACTTGAGTATTATGATCGACCGCCTCTTTAAGTTCCGATGTGAATAGGACTAAGTTTGTGTTAGTTGATCTTTTAGCCACAAATCCATGTTGATCCACAGTAATATATTTCTGTAGATGCCTGTACAAAACAGTGTGCACCAAGGACTCCAATAGCTTAGACAATACTGATAAAATGGATATTGGTCGATAATTTGTAATTAAGTCTTTTTTGCCAGTTTTATGTAACGGTATAACCCTAGCTTCTTTCCATTTATCAGGAAAATTGCCTGAATGAAGTGAATGGTTAAATAAAGTGGCAATTGGTACAGCTAAAATATCAGCACAGTTCTTTAGAAGCAACGGATGTATATCGTCCGGCCCTACACTTTTATAAATATCTAAATTTTTCAGCTTTTTCTTTACTTCCTCTTGAGTAAATTGGATGATGTTAATTGTGTCGGACATTTCAATCCCAGCTGACAGGTTACAGACATAACTATTACTATTATTTATATCTTTCTCAAACACTGATGAAAAATGTGTACCAAACATATTAGAAATATTTTCAACTTCTGATGACTCAGTATTATTTAAAATCATAGTATCTGGAAATGATGTGCAGTTGCTTCGAAGGTTTTTTATGTAAGTCCAAAATGTCTTAGAATTTTTTACTAGTTCAGTCTCAATGCTAATAATATAATTATTGTAGCACTCCTTAATAAGTTTGTTACAATCATCTCTTAAGTAAATAAACTCCATCTCATCTAGCGGATTTTTATATTTTTTAAATTTTTTATGATAAATATGCTTTTTGTTTAGTAAGTATAGAAAATGGGAAGATAATCCAAATAGGGTATGAATTGTTTTTTATTTTAGTCATTGGAATATGTAATCTAATTGCATTGTATAAAATAGCGTAAAATTTTGTAATCATGTTATTAATATCATTATAGGAATTTAATTCATCTTCCCATGAAATCGAGTTAAGGTATTTTTTTATAGACTCGTAATCACCTTTATGAAAATTAGGTCTAGAGGGGAGCAAAATTTTTTTATTTATTTTAACCATTTTCATTGTGATGTCAAGAGCTGGGTGATATTTATCTATGTTTCTTACCGGGTGTAAGTATTCATAAATATTTAATATTCCTTCATTGCAAAGAATCAAATCAAGTAATTTATTTTGAATGTTTGTCACACATTTGTATTGTTTCATATCGTTTAGTGTTATAAAATCTATAAATTTGCATAAGAGTTCACGGTTTCCATACCCAGATGGCACAAGACAGTTGTCCTGGTCTTTGCTGGCGTAAGGTTCCCAAGATATGCCGCTCATATTAAAGTCCCCTGCAATTAATGTGCATTTGAATTCATCACTCGATTCTAGGATAGAACTTACCTTCTCAGTAAAAATATTCATAGTGTTATCTGTTACTGGAGGTGGTAGATATACGGCACACAATCTTATCGAGATCCTATTTTTACCCGAAAGGTCTGGCACTGTAATTACTACCCATAGATCTTCGCATTCACTTTCCCATTCAGTGATTCGCTTTGATATTAACTGTTTCGATACGGCTATCAGTATACCCCCCTCCTCTTCCTGCATTTGAAATCGAACACATCTCGCGATCCCGCCTATACACAGCATAGCCGTTTACAAAAATTTCGGAATTGAAGCATCCACTACTAAGCCATGTTTCTGTAAATATGTAGATATCGTAATCGTTATTAAGTATTTGTTGACGTACCTCTATCAAATTCGTATTTAACCCTCTTACATTTTGATAGTAGATTTTTAAGTGATCTGTTAACATACAAAATTAACTAAAGAGAAAAAAAAATATTTAACTAAAAGATATTAAAAACGAATATAATAAATCATTGTAGTTGAGATAATTCCTGGATGCTCTTAATTAATTTATAATCGGATGTTTCAGTCTTACGCATAAAAATTCTTCCTCCCTTTACCCAGACAAATTTGAATCCTAATTCCTTACCCTTGAGACGTGCAGCTGCGTGTATTGCTTTTTGCGTAGTTGAGAGATGTTCAAGAATGTATACTGGTTTTCTTTCTCCACCAAGTCCAAGATGAGATGAGTTTAACTTTTCAGAAACACTATTAGCTCTTTTATTGAATCTTAATGAAGCTGCTAGAAATTCATCCCTGATTCTGGGCGAGCTAAATTTCACAATAACTGACCGCGGGCGTGGACTATCTCTATTTACTTTGGTGACTCTTGTGCATACGTGAAAGTCTGACTCATTTAATTTGTAGTTCACGATGGCAGCAATTTATTTAGCAATCGTTATTAAATTCTCAGATTTATGCTCTGGAATGTTTTGTATTTCTAAATTAGTAGCTCGAGAATGCTGTTCTGTTAGCGTGAGTCTGGAATTGAGTTCTGCAATCGAAGATCGTAAGGATGCGTTCTCAGACTCTAAGAGCTTTATTTGTGAGGTGTTAGATTGCACTTCTTGTTTAGTAATTTCTTGCTGTTTCTCAATTGCAGACAAGGAATCAGACACTCATTTAAAACTATCTACTAACTCCTTTAATTTGAGATCAAACGCCAAAAAAAAGTATATTTTCTAACTCTTTCTCACTATGCTACGTATAGATAATGTCGATTCTGATTCCAATGAAGATATTTTTTCTAATTGCCCTCCTCTCCTGGTGTTTACGTTTTGCGATAATTTTTCTTGTTCACTAACTGTCGTTTGCTGGTGAATCGCTCTAATTGGGGCGTTAGTATTATCATTTTTGGGGATCTTACTATGACAGCATGTACACAGCCAATTTGACTTATATTCTTCCGTTAACTCCTTGAATGACTTTTGTATATTAACTCAGCTCAAGTGATATTTGCACTTGCATAATTTACATACTAAGCAGTGCGGTGCAGGTCCCAGTCGGTCACAACACCCAAACTTAGATTTAGTTTGCGACATAATATTTTTTATTTGGTATAAGTTGTACTATACTTGTTATTAAACGTAGCACGAAGCAAGTTCACTTGCACGTTTTAAATGCGGCACTGCAGAGCAACGATGACTCATGTACGTTGGCGAGCTCGCTTCACTCAACTATACGTTAACGAATTATTTTAAATTATAAACACTGATATCTCTTTATTCCACTCGAGTTTTTGAAAACAAATTTGGCCAAAATGTAGATTTTCTTCTAAACTTATTAAGAATGTTTTTTATAACACTGAACGATAACTTTTTACCACTGTTTTAAGATTAAGTTTACAGAGCAACGAGTAACAGGTATGTATAGACGCGCATCAAATCCACTGTGACACATCGATATAAAACCGTCGATTTGTAAACCTACTTTTTTGAAATTGCCTTAAAATAGAAAGTAATTATATGCTTGGCGTACACTTCGCTTGTTTGTTATCTTAAACCTCAGTGTCATAAATAGGTACCTAGGTATAATTTATAAAAGTTAGGTCCGTCAACAAGTACTTGGGCAACGTCAAATACACTTCGTTGCCCTAAAACCCGCTTCAATATGAGAGAAGTCTTTTGCCGCAACACGTAGTCCATCTGATGGTGAGTAGACATTATGGTCTATAGAAAATTGCATCTATCTTCTATTAACAATCAAAATGCGGAAGCGTTGTCACCCTGGACACTAAGACGGAATGCCTCGTTTTCAGTGAATAGGGTATCTGGATCTTTACACTCTCCATACGAAACGTATCAGCATTAAGTTATAGCGGCTTACGATAGTATTATTATATGATTGCCAACCCATTCATGTTACAACTTAAATATAGCTGCGGCATGGCTGTAACCCGTATTTAACGTATCTACGTACATCCCTGAATTGCAAACCCGCATTAATATTCAATGGTATGCGTAATATTTTGAATTACATCGTAAAACAAATAATTATGAGTTAATATTTATACAATATCCAATTTAAGTATGCGGATGTGGCTAATTGCGAATTATAATAAAACCGAATATAAATTATTCATCGTTTTCATTAGCTGGACCTATTCTAAAATTAAATGGACTAAATTACGTGCAGTGTTACAATAATGTGAAGCTCGGCGGGATGTTCTGTACGAAATTCCACAGGCTAAGTGAAACTATATCCAGCTGAAGGTAATTTTTTATGGGATTTACAAACAGTTAATAACATAAAATTTACTTGAACCTCATGTGCAATGTCCATGTCACACCTATGCCGGTAGTTGTTGGGAGCACTAAGCTTGAAGTTATTGACGAGTATGTTTACCTGGGACAAATATTCCGACTAGGTAAGCCCAACTTCGACCGAGGGGTCAATCGACACATTTCGTCAGCTATATCTCAAAATCTCAAAATTTGATTTTTCAACCGTTGCGTGTTCCCAGTGATGTCCTATGGATCTGTGACGTGGTCCTTCACTGCTGGCCGTATGAGAAAGTTCAAAGTCGCTCAGCAAGCTATGGAGAGGGCTATGCTCGGGGTTTCTCTGCGTGATAAACTTAGGAATGAGGATATCCGTAGTAGAACCAGTGTAACCGACGTAGCCTAATGGGCTATTAAGCTGAAGTGGCAATGGGCCGGCTATATAGCTCAAAGAACCGCTTACCGATGGGGAATAAAGGTTCTTGAGTGGCAGCCTAGTACCGGCGGGCGAAGTGTGGGGCGACTCCCACTAAATGGAGTGACGAACTGGTAAGACATGCCGAAAGTCAAAGGATGCAGGTGACTCAGGACCGTGCTTTTTGGCATTCCTTAGGGAAGGCCTATGTTCAGCAGTGGACTTGTAAAGGGCTGTAATGATGATGATGATGATGATAAACATGATATATGTATATCGTTTTAATACTGAATTTTATGTGATGCATTTTTTTTCAAGCCAGCAGATTATAAAATGACACCATACTAAAAAGCAACCTTGCAATATTTAATATGAAAAAAAAAGTTGGCCGTCACGGAACTGGGATGTGGCGAAAGCGCACCAATAGATGTTTCACATAAAAATTGAAAAAAAAAAATCTTATTGTGCAAATGTATGTATCGAAATGCAAATACTAGTACTAGTAACAAAACATCTGCATTTTTATTGGACAAGGATAGATGTAGCCTTCTATGGGCTACATCCATTTACCATCACATGGATACTCGTTTGTCACTATTATGTTTAAATAATAAAACTTAGAACCATTAAAATACTGGTTCCTTTCGTGGCATAATTATAATGATTTTTAAATGCATCGATAGGTTCGCTAAGAATTGAACAGCTGTTTTATTCAAGCATTCGCAGCCGCCCATTTCCCCGCGATATCATGGCACTATTCGAACCGCCGCCATGTTAAGTTCATGCAAATTTAAACGCCTGCGTTTTATTGCCTCGGGCTTCGCTTTAATGCTCGAGGAATGGCAGATGGCTATTTGATTACATCCCCTGTTGAGAAAAACATATCGGACCCGAAGTGATATTTTCGATTGAACTTCTCAATAAATAGAATTAAGTCATAATGACTGTTTTCTGTTATCAGATTTACCACTTAAAACTGAAATTGTTGTCAGTTTTTAGAAGCTTTTATTCCATTTGCATTCTTCGTATGTCTTTTCTGTTTATATGTATTTAA